TCACAAGGATTTTCTCTTATATTTTCTTCTACAAGTTTTACATTTGTTGCCCTAATATGCAGGTCTACGATTCATTTTACATTAATGTGTATATACTGATGTGTGGGTCAGGCTAACTGTTTGTTGGAGGGTGGCTATCCCATTGGCACAGCACCATAATGATAAGAACCCATTCCCCCAGTATACTGCCTTGAAGCATTTGTTAGGTGAATCGTGGCCACAGATGGACACTATGGCCATTATTTCTAGACTCTCTGTCTTGTTCCATTGATCTGTGTCTATCCCTACACCAACATCACACTGCCTTGATTAACGTACCTTTTACATTAAGTTTTGAGATAAGGCAGTATAAGTCCTCCAACTTTGCTCCTCTCATCTGGATATCCTGCGTTTTTTGTGTTTCCATTTACGTTTTAGGATCACCTTCTCAAGTTCTACAAAACAGCCTTCTGGAATCTGGGGACTGCATTGAATTTATTAATTGTGAGAAAATGATTTTTACTCCATCAACATGGTGTATCACTCTATGTGTCTAGCGTTTTAAGTTTATTCCTAAGCATATTATTCTGTACGATGCTACTGTGAGTAGATTTTAAAAACTTTCTGTTTGAATTGTCCTTTGTAAATGGATTTTTTGGGTATATTTTTCTATGATCCTACTATTCCTTTTTAATTAATGTTAACATTTTTTTCATTATCACCTTAAATATAAAACATAAGGTTTTGAATCCCTTCACTTCCCTTTTCCACAAAAGCTACCCTAAAAAAGGGTAAATGTTTCAACTAACTTTAGAAAACCTCTTTCAAACAATAACCCGGAGCAGCCATTGATAGATATGAAGGTCATGGGTTCTACCTTGCTGGTAGCAAGTTTAAAACTACAAGTTAGCAAACATGTTTGGGGCCTGCCTCTCCCTCACTTTCTTTTTGATCCTTGTGGTAGGAGGTACTTAACATTGGGTTGGCAAGTTATGGTCATTAGCTAAATCAAGCTTGTTTTTTATACATAAAAGCTTTACAGAAACATAGCCGTGCTTATTTATTGGCATATACTCTACGGCTGGTTTTTGACTAAAACAGCACAGCTGATGAGCGGTTGTGAACGTAGTCTTATAGCCTACAATGTCTAAAATACCCTACGTGCACTTTAGGCGCTCTGGGGGTGGAGTCTGCCTGCTACCGGGATGGTTAGGGGTTGGAACTCGGCTCAGCAGCCCACAGGGGCAGTCCTACTCCATTCCACCCGTCACCATCCGTCAGGATCTGCTCAATGGAGGAGTTCTGGTAGAAAAATAGTCTGCCAATTTTGCTCTACAAGATGCTGGGGCTGGTAGAAAATCTAATGACAACTGTGGGTAAGACGTGGGCATCCTCCTGAAGTTCTCTCCCGTTGATGTGCGTGACTCTCAGAGGCTTAACCCACTGAACATGTAAAGGCCTAAGGAGAAAAAGCAAGACGCAGATACAGGGAATACAAAGGGAAAGTAAAACCAAACAGGAAACATGGTGAGCATGAAGAGAAATGGGAAAAGGCTAGAAAGGAGGTGCACACAGACTTGTGGGGCTCAGTCTCCATTCCTGTAGAACTGTGAGGTGCGAGCTCCTGAAGGGCACTGCGGTTTGCACGGCCGGTTCAGCCCTTGGCTCCTCCTGCCAAGGCTGTCGATCCAACCAGCCATCTTCTCTGCTAGGGAGACCTCAGCAGCCTGCTTCTGCCGGAACTGCTGCTGCAGTAGGTGCCGTTCACAGCCACCCAAGGTGCCACGGAGCAGAAAGACTGCCCGGCCCTGTGCATCCTCGGCGGCCCTGCGTGACAGCTCTGCTCTGTCCTGCAAAGTGGCTGTGAGTGGCAGCAGGTTTGCTCTGGGGCTCTCCTATTAGCACTGACAAGTCCCTCCCACAAAGACTGAGCCCTTGCCGGAGAAGCCCCACTTGTCCCGACTGGCTGGGACACGGAAAGCCTCCTCTAAGTGTCACCAGCAAAGTGACAGGAAGGGTCTCCCTCTGCTGTCCAGTGCAGCCAGTAGGGTGACCGAGCCACTGAGCAACGAAATGTACTAGGAACTTAGTCTATCAGTAAACTAGCTTGCACCGTACCTCCCACGGCTGGGAGCTGCCGTGCTGGCGGTGCAGGTCTGAAGTGCCATAAAGTTAACTTCTTAGTGACCAGCCTTCTAGGGAAAATAATGATAATAATAATTTCATTTTACTATATTTAAATTTATTAATCTCCAAATTTAGTTTACCATTGTCCTTGGTTGTATATTATAAATAATATAATCAAGTTTCCCTACCATTATTCCGTTATAAACATATTGGTATTTCATCTGTTAAATGCAATATCACTTTGAAACTGTCGAGTGTCAGATTTTTAAAAACAGAGTCACACATGGCACAGAAAGTCCGGCCTCACTTGTCTACTCTCCGAGAAAAGAGTGCGATGAAGGTAATGTTGGAAACTGTATGAACTCCATCCTCAAAAGACACGCATCGCACAGGAGCCCTCAGAATGTGACCCCATGGGCAGGTCTTTTCAGAAGCCAAAACTCACTGGATGCCACCTGGAATGTAGGCCAGCTTTCTGAGTACAGCAGGAACCCTGCAGAAGGTGTAGAAGAGCTATCATGGTGCATCAAAGCACACCCAAAGCAATCCGCTTGTGGGACAGCCTCCATAGCAGAGGCCACATTTCAACTTGACTTACACACTGGTCATTTCCATAGGTCACATGTTATTTCATACCAAGAACTATTTCCTCTCCCCACTAAACACACATGCTCTAAGTTTCCCAACCACTCTTCCTGGCAAATGAGGTGGGCTACTAGCTTCTGGTTCATGGAATGTACAGGAATGTAAGTATGTAGATGAATGTAGTGGAGTGTCAGTCTTACAAAAGACACCTTCAAAATCCTTCATGCCTTGTGCTGCTGCTCGTTAAAATGGAACAGAAATGGCTAATATAGAGACTCTGGCACTCACAAAACAGAAGACAAACCGCCACATGATGGAAGACGCTGGGGCCCCAAGAGGAAGGAGAAACAGGTGCCTTCAGGTGCAGTGTTGAAGTTTGGGTGATATGGACACACTTTCCAGGTTTGCTTCTACTGGTCACGTAGTTAGCACAACCTCTGCATGTGCTTACTTGGCTGTGCGTGGGGCTGCTCACCCATCAGGCACTCTATGAGACAAAGACATGACTGCTGTTCCCTAGAGACTGACCACCTCAGAAACCACCGGGATCATCAGTTCCATCCTGCCCTTCAAGGGGCAATGATGGGAACTGACTTGCTGGAAGTCGTCTGTATATGAAATCCAGGACAGGCAAACCTATGAGACAGTAAATGGATGAATGGTTCCTTGAGGGGCAGCAGGGAAGGTTGGAGAGAAAAACAGTGAGCATAAGACTGAAGAACATGTTCTAAAATTGACTGTGGTCCTCATTGTATGACTGACTCTTCTTGATATCACTTGCACAGTTTGTGGATTTTACACCAATAAAACTGTTAAAAAATAGGAGTCACAATGGTACAAAATCACTTGATGCAACAAAGTGCTTTCCCTCCTCTTAAAAGGAGCCAAACATCTCTACTTGTTTTACAGACACAACAAAATCAAAATTAAAACCAAGAGATTGAGAACGTTTACGTGTTGGGTTGCAGAGGAGAGAGCCAGTGGAAACAGAAACAGATAAGACAATGAAACAGAGAAGACTAAAATGCCAATCACGAGAGAGGCACATCACCACCGAACTGACATGACAGGCTGGCTGGTACGCTATATCCCTGGTGCTCAACCTAGTCCCCCAAAGTAATTTTTGCCAGTTCATTTTTTTGCTATTATGCCCGATAAAGCAAAAAACTGGAACAGACCCCAAATTTTAACGATGGGTGATCCAGAATAACTGGAAGGGGTAAAATCCTGAGCCCACGCCCTGGAGCGGGGGTCTAGGGAGAGCTGTAGGAACCGAATGCACAAGACTGGCTCCTTGGCAGGGCTGAGGATGCCGACAGACACGCATTCCAAGTGGCTGGCAAGGCTTCGCGTGGGCACCGCTCTTCCTGGCGTTGCCTGACCTCTGAGGGGCGAGAGGTGGTCTGCCAGGCATGCACATGCAGCCTTGTTTCTTGAGAGGGGCTTCGTTGGAGGCTTTCCTGTTTGGGTTACCACTTGGGTTTATCCAGATTTCGAAATTGGGTCTGTTCCCATTTCACGTGCTCAGTCATAACTAAACCAGAACCCAATCCAAAGTCCTGGTTCAACCAGCCAAGGGGCTTTTACAGACTTCTCCCACATCTGTACACGGCCCAAACCCCTATGCCCAGCTCCCCATCTCTTGCCAGGTATCACTGGTCTTAACATCCACTCAGCAAATATCCTCTGAGTGTTAGCTACATATGAAGCACTGTGTTTGATGCTGGATAAATGCACACTTACAATGCTTTATACCCTAAGCATACTCTTCCCTTACCAAGGCTCCCTACCCTCATAAAGTTGTTCTTCCAGCTACCCTGCTGTTCAAGCCCCAAACCTGAGTTATCTCGACACCTGTTTTCATTCCAGAAAGTTCTGTGAATCCTGAAGTGCGTTCAAAGGCACCTGCTTCATCCCTCTCCAGTCTGTTCATTCCACTCTCTCTACTGTTCCTACCTTGCGCCTGAGGCACTTTCTGAGAGTATGAAAACATTCAAGGCGGTCACAACTGGGAGAGGGTACTATGGCACCCAGGGGTACAACCAAGAAAGCTCCCCAACATTGTACAGTACAGGAGAGCCCCCACAACACAGAAGTACCCAGTCCAGGGTCAATAGTGCAGAGGATGAGCACACTGCTCTAAAGTATCTGAAGCCAATAAATAAGCTGAAGACTGATGCCCACCAATAACTGCATTTTATAATAGTTTAGATGAATTGTCAAAATTCAGAATTTTTGATAAAGTAAATCAGATCCCATTGTACTACAGTGAAATATGCATTTAATATGTGGACAGGGAGAACACTTACTTGTGCATGTTTTCCACTCCTATTATGATCATGATGCAGTAGGAAATTCCACTTTGTACAAGAAAATGTAAGGCATACCTATAAAAATTAAGAGCATTGTTAGAACATGGATATCTATTCACAAATATCAAGTTGAAAATATTAGGCTAAGATTTTTTATGCAGATATAAATTTATAACACAGAAAATTCCAGATTTGAAAACAAGGGCTCAAATCCCCATTGCTGAGTATTCTGTGGCCGCACTAGCAATAGAGTCCCATGACACAAACTTAAAAGAACCAGGGACCAAACCCAACCCCCATAAACCAGTAGCAATGCCCGCGGGACATTCCAAGTCTCCCGGCTGCATGAAAGCACTTGGGGTGATACAGCTCAAGGCTTCAGTGCTTGCGCATCACTCGAAGCAGAATGGTCAAACAGGAATAAATCTGGATTTCCTAATACTCCTGACCGAACAGCAGTTGTTTGTTACTTACTTTCCCCAGTACCAGTGTCATACACTACCCTTATTAATAGCGTTACTCATAAACAATTAAAAGTACTAAATAGTAAAGTCTTAAAAATCAGTACACTCAAAATATCTATTCTCAGAATATGATGGTTCAACTGAAATGAACATTCGTATGCAGATCTTGTCAATTTTTAATCGACTGTATCGTAGCCATCCACGAAATGTACTGAGTTGGCATAGTACTTTCTAATTTTCTACTGTATGAACTCACCGTGAAAATGAGAAAACAGTGATCAGTTCACAGAATTTAGACAAAATCTGATTAGAATGTTGGCATTTGAGATCCATCTAAAGCAGTGGTTCTCAACCATCCTAATGCCGTGACCCTTTCACACAGTTCCTCATGTTGTGGTGACCCCCAGGCATAAAATTATTTTCTTTGCTTCTTCCTGTCATTTTGCTACTGTTTTGAATCGGGCGACCCCGTGAAAGGGTCGCTCAACCCCCAAAGGGGTCGTGACCCCAGGTTGAGAACCACGCTGTAGAGTATTCCCTCAACTAACCCGCACATACATTTTCCGCACATGTCTCACTTCTGTGCCACAAACAGCTCCTGGACAGTTCTTCCTCTCATCGTAGACGACTTCCTGTACTAGCAGGGAAAAGCTCTGACGGAAGTTACTTTTAACTTAGCATTGTGCAGTAACAGCTACCACCAATATGGAAAAGTGTCTAAAGTTCTGCACAAATTTCCCTAAGGGGATATTATAGAGGGTAGGCTACAAAACACCTCATAGGTGAAACTTACTTTACCCATTGTATAAAGTAGACCATATATATTTAGAGTCTGTATGTATAAAGTCATATATGTAGAGAGTGTCTCGCTCTTATATGTGAGTGCACACATACACTCACACACACACAGAGAGAGAGAGAAGGAGAAGCAGTGTTGTGATTATCACGGGACCACGAGGAAGCAGGAAAAAAATATGGTACAAATTGGAACAGAATGAAGCTGTTAATAAAAGGAAAGCACACTTTTTTCAAATTAATTGTCCACCTATGTAATGTCAACAAGATCAAATTACTAAACGACAATGTGAGCAGTCCTTCAGGGGACAACATGATAAGCTTACGGACTTTGAGCAGAACTCACTAAAAATGTGTCTTAGAAATCATTTCTGGGAAGTCCTGGGGGACTGGGTGTCCTTTTCTGTAAGCCCATCTCTTTGTCATGTGAGGGTGATAGGACGCCCTGTACGAGAGAAGCGGCTCCCTTATACAACAGTGCCGTCACAGAGAGCTTCAGGTGCCCTCTGTCTCCTCATGCCGCTGTTCAGATGATGTGGCTGGCCCCTCCTCTGGCATGAGGCTGTTTACTCAAACATAAGGTAATCTGCATGGACATGGAGATAATCTGCATCTACTGGTATCACTGACCTTCATGACAAGTGTCAAGTTGCTTTTCTACTCAATTATCTATCATTAGTGATTATTCTTCATAACTTTCCACGCTCAGCTACTCCACTTGCTTGCTGTGTAACAGAAGCAAAGCTAGCGGTGTGCATGTTAGTAAAACTAGGGTAATAAAAACTATTAGCCAATTATGTTTTTTTCCCAGATCAAGAAATATTAAATGGAAATTATTGAATCATTCATTTAAAAAGTAAAATCAGGAATTGAGACAGGCAGTATCTTAATCTATTAGAATCCAGCTTGGTTATTTTAGAGTCAAGACAACTAAATTCTGTGGCTATATATCTAGTTAGTATCTGAACTGGCATTAAAGCCCAAGTTGTTTCCAGGCAATTTACTAACTGGAAGATTCTCCAAGGGATGCGAAGAGGTGGGGTACAGAACCCCATGACTTGTGTATCACAATATTGCAAATTGCTTAAGCACTTTGAAGAAAAACAAACTTTTTTCTCAGAAATTTAGTTGCTCTTTATACATAACATTCCACTTACTTTGAATTTCAAACTACCCCAAAGGCGAATGTATAGTATGCAAAAAAAGCACCCACATTTAAAAAATCATTTTATTAGGGGCTCATACAACTCTTATCACAATGCATACATACATCAATTGTGTATTTGTACATTCACTGCCCTCATCATTCTCAAAACATTTGCCCTCCACCTAAGCCCCTGGCATCAGTTCATTTTTCTCCTCCCTCCTCGCTCCCCCCTTCCTCATGAACCCTTGATAATTTATAAATTATTATTTTGTCATATCTTGCCCTGTCCGACGTCTCCCTTCATCCACTTTTCTGTTGTCCATCCCCCAGGGAGGAGGTTATATGTAGATCCTTGTAATCAGCTCCCCCTTTCCACCCCACCCGCTTCTACCCTCCTGGTATTGCCACACTCACCACTGGTCCTGAAGGGATCATCTGTCCTGGATTCCCTGTGTTTCCACTTCCTATCTGTACCAATGTACATGCTCTGGTCTAGCCAGATTTGTAAGCTAGAATTGGGATCATAATAGTTGGGGTGGGGGGGGAGAGGAAGCATTTAGGAACTAGAGGAAAGTTGTATGTTTCATCGTTGCTACACTGCACCCTGACTGGCTCGGCTTGGCTCCTCCCTGTGACCTTTCTGTAAGGGGATGTCCAATTGCCTACAGATGGGCTTTGGGTCTCCACTCCGCACTCTCCCTCATTCACAATGATATGGTTTTTTGTTCTTTGATGCCTGATACCTGATCCCTTCAACACCTCGTGATCGCACAGGCTGGTGTGCTTCTTTCATGTGGGCTTTGTTAAAGCAAACACATTTTTAAGAAGACTGAGAGAGAGCTTTTGTTCAACTGCCCTTCAGTGAATTTCTACTTCTGAAAAGCATTAAATTGGACCCTGGGAACACAAAAGCCCATGAGACACGGTCTTGTCTTCGGTTCCAGTCCAAAGAGAAAGACACACGAGTGACTAGGATATTTTGATGGTGTGTGATGAACACTACATAAACAGAAAGCATTCTCATGTGAACCACCAGGTGGATGATGTTGATGACAAGTTATAATAACTGCACCAGTCTTGACCTGGAATAACCTTCCGTGCTTACAATGAAGCAGCTATTGAGCTATTTCTGTCTCATTACCTCCTTCAGTCTTCACAATGCTGTATGAAGCCATAACTGGACCCACTCCACAGATGAGAAATGTGATGCGAGACCAACTCAGTGGCACGGTCAGTCGGGCCATGCGCTCCTCTTGGATGCCAGGTCTGTTTGACTTCAACCTCAGCTTTTTCCATCACATTACACAGTTCTCAGAATATTTAAGTCAATAATTGAGAGTGTAATCTAATTCTTGATTAAGGAGATTTACAGGTGAGTTGTTTGTTTGTTTGTAGCAAAACTGGGGTTCAACAGATGCAATAAAATGATCAATTATGTTTATAAGACATTAACGGCGACTCCCTCAGCCCGGACACTGAGGACTGTGGGACTTCGCCCAGGTGGGGTTTTTTCCCTAATAAATCCTGTTTGCTTAAAGAAAAAAAAGAAGACATTAACATATATCTTCCAAAAGGAAAAAAAATTCAAAATCAATAGCAGAGTTCTTCAAATAACAACAAAAAGTGCCAAATGTTAAAAAATCAAAAGGATATACTCATGTTCTTAAACTGAAAGGCTTCATATTTAAGATGATCTAAAGCAATGCACAGATCCAATGCACTTCATATCAAAATTCGAATGGCTTTTGGGGGGGGGGGGGGGGGGGGGGGGGGGGGGGGGGGGGGGGGGGGGGGGGGGGGGGGGGGGGGGGGGGGGGGGGGGGGGGGGGCAGAAAAAAAATTCCTGTGGACTTGCAAGGGGCTCTAAATAGCTTAAACATCTTGGGTGGGGGTGGAGGGCATTGGACAATTCAAATTTCCGGATTTCTAAACACACTATGAGGAGTCAGCCAAGTCCATATGGAAGAAGCCCACCAACCTGTGTGATCCAGAGGTAACTAATAAGAATCTCCACACCTGGAAAGGGGAGCAGTACCAGTGCCCGATCCTAAATACCGTACCTGGAGGAGGATAACTATAGATGATAGAGGCAGGTCCATCTACAGTCATGACCCGGACTAGCTGCAGGTGAATCCCCGGTGCACAAATGTCAGGGGGTGAGCAGTGTAAAGGGGATTTCAGCAACCATAGTCAGGCCTGAATGTAACTTCTTGTAATTTGAGCTCTCCTATGGACGCAATATGAATTTCTTAAAAGGGTTAAATATTCTCTGCTTTCTATTTGATATCTCTACCGACTTTGTGTGGCCACTGTTGACGGGCCCTTGCTTGACGCCTGCCTAGTCTTGTTTGAATATGTTAATTATAGCTCAATTTTTAAAATTGAAAAGCATTTTAAAAAACCACAGAGATTAGTCGTCAAAGCAGTAGGATACTGGCACAAGGACAGACACAGGACCCAATGACACAGACTGGCGACAACAGAAATGAACCCGTGGTTCTGTGGCCAATTGGCTTTCAACACACGGAGCGTCAAGAAAGTCTGATAGAAATAAGAACATCCTTTCAACTGAGACAACTGAATCTCCACATGGGAAAGGGTGAAGCTGGATCCCTATCTCACACCAACTACAAAACCTATCTTGAAATGAAATCAGTTACAACTATAATGGCTGGAACGAAAAAGCCCTTAAAACAGTGGTTCTCAACCTTCCTAATGCCTCAACCCTTTCATACAGTTCCTCATACAGATCCCCCAACCATACAGTTAGTTTCACTGCTACTTCATCACTGTCATTTCGCTACTGTTATGAATTGGGAGACGCCTGTGAAAGGGTCATTTGACTCCCAACGGGGTCACCACACACAGGTTGAGAACTGCTGCCTCAGAAGAAACCCTAGGGGTGAATGTCACGGCTTTGGGTTTGGCAATGGATTAGTAGATATGATATAAGCAGCACTAGCCACAAGGAAGAAATAGATGTTTCAGACTTAATCAAAGTTTAATATTTTTGTACATTAGGGGCCATTATCAAGATATCCTACAGAATGGGAGAGTGTATCCGCAAATCATATATTTGTTAAGTGTCTAGCATCTGGAGAATATAAACAACACTTTACAATTCAGTAACAAAAAGATAACAACCAAATTTAAAAGATGGGCTAAGAACCTAAACATATATTTCTCCCCAAAGATATACAAATGTCCAGCCATCATAGTATGAGAAGCTGTGCAGCATCGAGAGGGAGGCCCAATCAGACCACAGGGAGGCAGGCTGCACCCGGGGGGATGGCTACCACGATTTGTTCCAAGACAGCAGAAAATAACAAGTGTGGTGAGGATGCAGAAAAAGTGGAATCCTCATATACTGCTGGTAAGAATTTTTCAATTTAGCATAATTTATGCTTTGTGGATTATATCAGTTTAAAAAAAATTTTTTTAAAGAATACACTACTTGCCCAGTCATTGCAGGTCACAAAAAATTCTTAACCTCTCTATTGTGTGTTTGAAAAATCTCATAATCAAAAGTGGAATATGAAAATAAGTAAAGAAATTACTGCTCCTCGGGTTCCCGTTTATACATGCATGGACTTATGCCAAACAAAATGCATTCACACGCGACTCTTCCATCTGGGTGGCTGGAGACCAGTTCTCTCAGTAACACGCTTGTCTTATAGACTGATTAGGGTGCCTCTCAAAAAAGGATACTTTCAGTGTTGTGGGGGGAAGAAACGAGTTTGATATTATAGCTAACTAAAGTCAATTTTTAACAAAGCTCAAGTGGACCATCTTCCCAATTCATTGAACTCTGAAACAAATCCAGATGAAACAAGAGTTCCTAGAGGGCTGAGTGTTCTGAGGAAGAATGGGGTGACTTCGAAGATGAGCACAGGGACACCAAGGACATCAGTGACTGAAGAAACTATGGGTGAAGCCCAGGGACTCGGGGCAGCAGCCACTGATGCTGGGCCCTCGCGGTATTGGCCATTTCCAGTGCTCAGCGAGCATCTTGGCCTCAGCCAGCTTTGGGCCCAAGGATGCCCAAAACGCTGCACAGAGATCACCTATCTCAAAACAGCTCATCTTTCTATCAGCTTTTTGAGCACGATCCAAACTTGTCAAGGCAATTTTATGAAACAAATCATAATTGGGGATAAGCCTTGGGTTTACCAATATGATGCTGAGAGCAAGGCTCAGTCACAACAGTGCCCCCAGGGGATCTGCTGGTCCAGTTAAATTCAAGACAGAGCTCAGCTCAGAAGATGAGCACAGCTCCGTTCAGGGAACCCAAAAGGGAAACCCTGATGGGTTTTCTCAAAGGACACAGGACGGTCCAAGGAGCTTATTAGGAGGAATTATTCAGAAAACCGAAAATTGCATTGATAAGGAAAAGGTCAAGAAAGCTGCAGCGAGGACATATTTTCCATCAAGACAGTGCACCTGCTCGTTCCCAGAAGGCAGCAGGGACTTTGCTGGGAAGCCTTGCCCCATGCATATATCCCCCTACAACCCTGACCTTGCCCCTATAGATTTCTTTTTGTCCCCCAAACTTAAAGAACGCTAAAAAGAACACAGTTAAATAGTCCCTCAGGATGCCAAAACTGTCATTTTTGACATGACCTATACTGAAGAGGACAAAATTCTTCAGCAGGATATAGACCGAGCTGTTGGACATGTAGAGAAGCAATAGCTTCACATTTTGTTTTTATTAATAAGGTTTCTCTGATTTTGTATGCAATGCCTTTTCATTTACCCCTGTATCACTGAAGAAAACTACAAAAACTTTGATGATCAAATGTGATGTTGAGGAAGTGAGAGAGACCATGTAAATATTTTTTAAAGACTGTACTTAAAGATCAGGGCCATATACTGCCCCCACGCCCACCCCACGGGCGGTGACTGGCTCTGGCCTACTGCATGGCACATGTATAGAGGCGGAATTTTTTTTATCACTGATTGATTTCTCATGAGTTTCTAGGAAGCAAAAAGCAAAAACTTTACTAAGAAATGCCAATATACGAGGGGCTTCGAAAAGTTCAAGGAAAAGAGCTTCAATGAAAAGGACTTTCGGAAGTGCACCCAGAGGCAGCTCCTGGGCTGTCCACAAGACTCCATCCTAAATGCATAGGCGAGTCAATCCCGTGGTTCAGTCGGGACAGGTGCATACAGTTTTCATTTGGCCTTATATTGGTGCAAAATGGAGCCCTGGTGGCATAGTGGTTACACTTTGAGCTGCTAACTACAAGTCCAGCAGTTCAAAACCCTCAGCCGCCCCTTGGGAGAAAGACGAGGCTGTCTATCCCGTAAAGACTTAAAGTCTCGGAAACTCACAGGGGCAGTTTTACCCTGTCCTCTAGGATCGCTGTGAGTCGGCATTGACTTGATGGCAGGGAGTGAGTGAGTGGAAGAGAAGGTGGCCTGGTGGCTCTCTCGGGCAAGCACTGGACTGCTACCCCCCTGGTTGGCAGTTCAAATACACAGCTGCTCTGTGAGAGAGAAAGAGACTGTCTGTGCCGGTCCACACGGACAGCCTTGGAAGCTCCACACAAGATCCCTGATTCCTCAGATCGGCTGATGGCCGTGGTGGTTCTTGTGGTTTTACTATAAAGACTGACCGTCTCAAAACCAGAAAGAGCAGTTCTAGTGTAGCCTCGGGAGGGTCTCTATCAATCAGAACACACCTGATGGCACAGGGTTGTAGTGGCTACTACGCGCGCGCATGCGCGCACCACCACCACTACGTCCTTAGAGCCTTTCCAAGAACTTTCAAGCTGCACACGCGGCCAGTGAAGGTCACTGCTAGGAAGCTTTTGTTAGCCAGCATCATTGGAGTTCCATTGGAGGGGTACGAGGTGACGGACCTTCACAAAGTCCATGGGTGATCCCAGGATCTGCTACTTGTCCCAGACTGTTCTCAAGTCCCCTACCTTACACTAGTTGTCCGTGTGTGACTCGGGGACCTACCGTATCTCAACTCCCACAAAACCCAAAACACAACAGGCTCCAACTACACAGAGGCATTATCAGAGTCCTACAGCCTGTATGCCCCACAACAGAAACTACTGAACCACACGTCACCTGAGTGCATGTTTATCCTCTCTAGAATGCGCTCCTCACGCAGCAGGAAGCTTAGAAACCTCCAGGTGCACGTGGCAAGCGAGGTGATAATGAGCACAGAGCATACGCTCTCACGCAGGAAAGGAGGGAAAGGACCACACGCAGCCCTTCCCCAGTCTCCGCTCTTCCCCAGTCCTCCTTTCCCACACTCCTAGGCAGGTGGGTTCCTGCCATGAACAGGGAGTATGGGATTCCTTTACAGGATCGCCTGTCAGCGGAGAAAGAGAGCAGACCGAGAGAGACCTGCACGCCATCTCCGTCACCACCACCACCACCACCACCACCATGTAAGCGGTCATGAAGAAAAGCTTCCCATCCGAAACCATTCCTTCCACACCAAAACAAACGCTTCTCGCTATTCGTGGAGTCCATCGGCAACGGTAAAACATGGTAATAAAGTCTGATTAATTAGCTTGACCAGATTCCTACAAGCTACTTCCCCAGAGCAAGCAAGCAAACAAACTAATTATATTTTAAATGGTTTACTTGTCCTGCCATGAAAAATTTGCAAACTAGGTGGAAAACAATGACTCGTGACAGAATAAAACACCCTTATATCCTTTTGTTCATGCGCCCTTTCTCATAAAATATAAATATTAAATAGCTCCCTCTGAAAACCACACTTTGCTAAAACTTAATAGCTCATTTTTTATCTCTCTGTATTAAAAACAAAAGCTAGCTCGGGAGAGAAAAGCCTATGAGCAAACATAAGAACCAACATAACCGCTCTCCCGACACATCTCAGTCTCACACAGGTCCGCTGAGACGCGCGAAGAACAACTTACCATCCGAAGCAGAACAGGGCAAGGTAGAGGCCCAAAAGGGTGGCCACCACGTGCCGGGTGAGAGAGCTCGCTCTGCTCGAGTGCAGGTACGTGCGGAACCAGACGGCTGCTAGCAAGGCAAAGAGCTGGCACACTACAAAGTTGACCTGCAAAGGAAAGTTAACTTCAGATTAGTATAAGGTGACCAGATGTCCCGCTTTTGGCGGGACAGTCCTGATTTTTAACAAATTTTCCCATGTCCCACGGCATTTTTTAAAAGGCCCAGTTTTTGGAAAGCATGCACGACAAGCTAGGGTAGACAGTTTTCAGCTGCCATGTGGCTATTTCGCCAGGATATGAGTTTTATCAATGGTGTCCCGCTTTTGTCCCGCTTTACCAATGTTAAAATCTGGTCACCTTAGATTAGCAACACAGGCCTGAATTTTTCTTAAGAAGCTGTCATGGGACAAAAGCCCCAAGATTACACGAAGTAAATATCGTCCAGTTTACAAGAGCAAACACCAGGGGTCTTCCCAGTTCACAGTGACAGTCCCAGGCTGAGAGGCATGGGGGCAGGGGAGGGGCACCTGAAGAACCCCAGAAACGGAAGCAGAGTAGCCATACTAGCTTAAGGGAGGGCGAGAATCATCTTAATGACTTCAGCGATTCTGAAGTGGGAAGAACAGCCCAGAACGTCTGCCAAAATGCTCTGGCACGGTACCAAGAACCCACAGGGTAGGAGGGCCTCGGGACCGAGACTCTTGGTCAAATGCACTCTCTTCCACTTGGAGTTCCAAGGGGTGCGGCTGCAGTGAAGAAGACTCTGCTGGTGTAAAATGGAACCCCTTATTTTTCAACAAGGGGAAACCGAGTAGCTGAGCTCGGAAGTACATCGATGGTTCACTGGGGCAGGCAGCAGAGTGTCAATAGACAGTCACTTTCAGAAAGCCAGGAGGGGAAAATGTCTAATTTTGAAGTTCCCCCTTATGCTGCTCTTAACTTTAGAAGTGGAATACAGAATAGCAATATTCCTGCTGCCCCTTTCCCTCCTAGAACATTTATTTTGCCTGAGTAAAATGTCAGAGTAGCACACTGAATACCATTAGAGAGACTTCTGAGATGCGCTGTGTGGATGCCAACTCCTTCAGGGCTCCTATTATTCTCAAAGGCTGGGCAGTCTCCCTTTCCTTTATGTACTAGATATATGCCTTACAGAACGCATATAAGAGGAAGTCTCCCTTTCTCTTTATATATGAGATATACGCCTTACAGAATGCATGTGCGGGGGAGTCTCCCTTTCCCTTTATATACTAGATATATGCCTTACAGAATGCATGTGCGGGGGAGTCTCCCTTTC